CAACACTAAATAACATTATTGGCAGACATAATCTGTGTCCACAATGGGCAATAGTATGACAATATAAGGAGGATAATAGACGTTATTAACAACACTGAAATATGTAAAACTTTGCTTCTCTTTCTGGACGCTGACAAAGCTTTTGACAGAGTGGAGTGGATTTATTATTTCTAAGCCATGGAACTGTTTAATTTGGTTTCAAGTATTATATTTTTGATGCAATTAATGTACTCTTCAATTGCAGCAGTTCTGAATTAATGAATCCTATGGTATCTGGCACAAGGACTTGATTGTCATCCTGTTCCCTGTGCTCTTTTTGTTCTCACCATAGGCCCCGGTCACACGGGCCAGATAATGCTGGGGGGAGGCATAGCTGTTCGCCCCGGAGCAAAATAAAGTGTGGTAGCCCAATCACACGGTCCCCCGAGTCTCTGTGCTTAGGCTGTTAGCGGGCGATTACACGACAATGCTGCAGCGTGGCAAAGAAGTGGTGCGGTGCAATCACAGAAGCGTTTCGCGTTTGCGCATTGCAGTTCCGCGGAGCAGCACTGCTTTCAGTTTTGTGTTTGTGCGCATGCACTTACAAAAAACATCTGGTTTGCGACGAGACATGGCGCCGGATGCCACGGGATACTAGCGTTCCCGTGATCAGACTCTGCTGCGCGTTTTCCAGAAACTAGTGTACTTTCCTTGGTACTTTTTAACTCCACATCTTCAGCTGGACGCCACAGGTTGGCCACGGGTGCGTTATGCTTCCCAGACGTTGCGGTGTAACCGCGCCCCAAAAATCCGCTCGACACTCGTGCCTTTCTTGCAGCAAATTCTCAGTGTGACCGGGGCCATTGAAGTGTTGTTGAGCACAGCCAGATCTAGTACTCACATCAAGTAGTCAAACAGGATTTAGTTTAAGATTTTCATGAACACAGGCGACATAACGTTTTAAATGATCTTTAGTTTCTTTCCTATATCTTCTTCACCTTTAATTCTGTATCTAACTATACAGTAAGTAGAAATCATTCTTCCTTTAACACAAACACTGCTCTGAAAAAGGTCAGTATGAAACCAGAAGCTGCTTTTGTTTTCCTTAACTGTATCGTGCAACATAAAGTCCGCCTCACAGGAACCAAGTATGGCTGTGGAATCGGAGGCTGTGGAGCCTGCACTGTCATGGTGTCCACGTACAACCCAGACACTAAGAAGATACGGTATCCTTTTTAAGGAGGAAAGATACTGAGTGTATCTACACAAGAGAGTTTTTACACCAGTTAAATTACCATGGCTTTCCCCCCAAGGGATCCTGGGAGTTATACTTCCTATGGGTGCCTGAGAATTTTGGCTCAGAGAACAGAAAGAAAATACTTCCTATTTGGAGGCTCTCGGCCTTACCTTTTGTCAGCTATGCTTTGAATTGCTTCTCACTTGACAGCAGTACCGAATTCTTCACGAGGGCAGAGAATGCGGAATGGTGAGGGACAGAAATTTGAAGGGGAAATGGAGTCAGAAATATATTACTGGTGATGAAAAACTGAAGGGATCTGTGTAGTTGAGACCATCAATGCCTGGCTCAAATGAAATTACTACCTTAGGCAAAAATCCATTTTGCTTGCCCCCTGGCCTCTTGATGTATGCAAGGGTAAAGCACTCTGGTCTCTTCTTATGTTTCCCTTATTGTAGCCCTGTTCCCTGAGTCGTGAACCCATGCTTCCTCACACAGAACCAGACCATTGGTCCATCAAAGTCAATATTCAAATGGGTAGTGCCTCTGCAGGGTTTCAGGTGGAAATCTTTCACATCACCTACTGACTGGTCCGTAACTGGACATGCTAGGGGTTGAACATGAGACCTTCTGCATGACAGGCAGATGTTCTACCACTGAGCCATGTATACTGGCCTAATATAATGGATGGAGAAAGGTGTGAAGATCCGCTATCGAAGGGGTTGTCTTAGAAGCTAAGGGGATGCCAGGAGCGGGATCCAGAAAGCATAGTTGCCTGTGAACAGCCTCAGAATCAGACAACAACCCCCATGGGGTCCGGAGTCTGCTTTTATTGAGGTGAACTTCCCGGGTAGAGTTACCTCACAGCTGACCCTGGTACGCCGTTCACCTCAATTGATTCCTCGCCGGCTGTCAGCAGCATGTCTTTATTAGTTTCCCGAACTCTTGACCCCCGTTGCTTCAAAGCCAATTGTAGGGTGTCTGATTTTTCCCCTGCCTCCCCCTGCGCCTCGATACCTCCTGCTCTGCTCTCTAGCTCCCTCCCGTGTAACTCTCTCATTTTCGGCCGAGCTCTCCCAGCTTTCTGTGCACCTTCTTCTCCCCCACTTGGTTGGTCTAGACCTGGGGTGGTGTATTCCTCTATCCCCTTCTGTCTAGTCAGGCTCCCCTGAGTACCCGGAGCCTGACAAAAGGGTAACAATTGGGAAATGTTTGCCCCAGACCATGTGGTTCCAATGTTCTGGGGAAGAGCAACTATGTTTTCCCCTGGAAGTTCCCCAGCAGAGCCTTTTGAATTTTGATGCTTTAGGTTTGGCATGTATTTCCAGTTGGAGCAGATTTATCCTCAGTGCATCCAAACAAGATGAAAATGACCCTAGACAGCACTACGAAAAGGAACCAACCCGGTTGAGTATTGGGATTCTCTTTAACGTCCCAAAGACATTTCCCAGCCAACTCTTGTCTGCTCCCATTGTGTTCGTTGTACGGTGCTGCAGTGACCACCGTGGAAGGAGTCGGAAGCACTAAAACCAAACTTCATCCCATTCAGGTGAGAGCTAAAGGCCAGGGAACCAATGCTTGTTTTGTGGCTGGGGTGACATGATCGAGGTTTATAAATTATGCACGGGAAAGAATGCATGGGAAAGAGCAGGTAGAGAAAGAGGTACTTTTCTCCCTTTCTCACAATACAAGAACTCGTGGGCACTCCATGAAATTGCTGAGCGGTCGGGTTAGAATGGGTTAGAACGGTCAGGTTAGAACGGGTTAGAACGGATAAGATTAAGTACTTCTTCACCCAAAGAGTGATTAACACATGGGATTCACTGACCCAGGAAGTGGTGGCGGCTACAAGCATGGACGGCTTCAAAAGGGAATTAGATAAGCATATGGAGCAGAGGTCCATCGGTGGCTATTAGCCGCAAGGTATAGATAGGGGCTCTGGGGCAAGTGATGCTCTGTCTTCTTGGTGCTTTGGGGGGGGTCAACAGTGGGAGGGCTTCTAATGTCCTGGCCCCACTGGTGGACCTCCTGATGGCACTAGTATTTCTGGCCACTGTGTGATACAGAGTGTTGGACTGGATGGGCCTTTGGCCTGATCCAACATTGGCATCTCTTATGTTCTTATGTTCTTATGTGATGATGTCTAGTGCCAAGCCAGGATGGTCCCTACCCCTATTCTACAAATCTAGGTGGTGAAGTTCTACATCGTGTTACATTTATTTCATTTATATCCCCCACTTTCTTCCATGGATCGCAAGACAGTGTACTCGGTGTTCCCAGATACTGAGTCTCCCATCCTGTGCAGATCAGCAAGGTGGCCATAGTGTGCCTTCAGACCATCTCCTGGAACCTTAAAAGGGACAGAGCTAAAGAGATGGGAACAGGTTTTCTTCCTTGGGTCTTCCACTGCTATGAAAGGCAAAGGAGCTGAGCCACAAAGGAAAGACGGTGGGAAGGAAACAATGCTAGACAGGTTGGCGCAGTGAGGAGGATGCCAATGTGCTGGTGGGTCTTCTGGAAGACGACGCTTCTTTGTGGACCATCCCTTTAATACACATTTCATGAGCTGTTTTCCCTTCCAGAAAAGGCTGGCTGAGTGTCATGGCTCCCAGTGTGGCTTCTGCACCCCCGGAATGGTGATGTCAATGTATTCTCTGCTAAGGAATCACCCGGAGCCCACCATGGAGCAGATTTCAGCTGCTCTGGACGGTAGGCTGCCTTTCTCTGAGAACTACTCAGCAAAGGGACGAAGAAATTAGGAAAAAATGGCTGGGGGAGAGGGCTAATACCATATGTGAGCAAGTGTCTAGTTGTGAGCAATCTCCTTGGATTCATTTTCTGGTCCTCTTTTACTGTCCCTTCAGCTCTGTTTGGCACCAGTTTGGTGTAGTGGTTAAGAGCATGGACTCTAATCTGGGAGAACCGGGTTTGATTCCCCACTCCTCCACATGCAGCTGCTGGCGTGACCCTGGGTCAGTCACAGTTCTCTCAGAGCTGTTCTCTCAAGAGCAGTCTTCAAAAGTGCTCTCTCAGTCCGAGCTACCTCATGGGGTGTCTGTTGTGTGGAGGGGAAGGAGACTGTAAGCCGCTCTGAGACTCCAAGAGAAGGGTGGAGTATAAATCCAATCTCTTCCTCCTCCTCCTCCTGTTCTTCTTCTTCTTCTTCTGCTGCTGCTGCTTTTCAACAGTGCACCTGCTGTCCACTTATGGCACACACAGTGGTCTCGATTGAGGGGGTCCACCAGCCACATCTTTCCCTCAATGCTGATTTATGTGGTTCCTGGTCTCCTTCCTGATTTTTACCCCAAATTTATTGCTAACAATTAACTGAATGAGTTTAAAACATGCCCAGGTACCAAGCTTTACTCTGGTACATCTGTACATGCCATCAAGTGGCAGCGCACGGCGACCCCAGCGAGGGGCTTTCAAGGCTAGTGAGAAGCAGAGGTGGTTTGCCATTGCCTTTCTCTGCAGAGTCTGCCTTGATGGTCCCCCATCCAAGTACCAACAATGTTTAGCTTCTGAGATCTGATGAGATTGAGCTATACCATACCACCTTTCCTCCTAAGCTTTACTCAAAAGTTTGCCCAGAGTCTCCCATTGGAAAAAAGAAGAGTGTTTTGAGATTGTTCCAGATAGTCAGCCATGTTGGTCTGAAGCAGTAGAACAAATTTAGAGTCCCGTGGCACCTTTAAGACCAACAAAGGTTTATTCGAGGTTTTGTTCCTGTATACCTTAGTCCTTATCTGAAGAATGGAGAAATCTCCCAGAGATTGAAGACTTAGCCATCTGTAATATATATATTACACAGCTTGACTGAAGTTTGTGGTTTATGTATGTGAATGTGTGTGACTGAACAGCTGTTCCTTTGGGGGTCAACTACCTTGATTCCTTCCAGCTCTCTGAGTCTATGAATTCTGTCCAGGAATTTCCAGATTCCATCACATGGAATCTGTTAGTTGACTCAAAGGATATTTGTCCCACATGGAAACTCCCATATGGCGGCAGTCCAAACAGTGGAACAGAAGGTTGCACTAGGTGTTCAAAGCAAGTCACCCCACTTCCGTGGACCATCACCATATTGGTATCACCAGCAGCTGCCAAGGAAGCGTGGAGGTGGCCGTACAACTGTGCCAACTCAGATAGCAAACCAGCCTTGTGAAAAACCTACTAAAGCAAGAGGAGCCAGTCCCAGCTGAGGCGGTGCAGAGCTCTTAGCTCCAGCCGCCCTGGCCGATCCTGGGTTGGCTCCTTTTGTAGCTCAGTTTACACCAAGCTGCAAGAGGAGCCAGCTCCAGCCGAGCTGCAGCGAGTTCACTCGGAAGGCGTTTAAAGGGACTGCAAGCCCTTTAAACGCCTTCAGAGTTCTCCAAGCCACAGAGTCATGTGACCTGGAGAAGGCATTCAAAGGGATCACGATCACTTTAAATGCTTTTAAAGTTGTCTATCTAGCAGTCTTGAAAATCCTAAATATGTCGGGGGTTGGCCATTTTCAATAGATGACCAATATCCAAAATGGCTATCGAGCTGAATCAATACCCCCCAAATATCGATATTTTCTGGGTATTTTTTCAGCTCTGATTTAGCTGAACGCATATCCCTATTCCTAACCCACCTGCCCTGACACACCTGTTAGCCATGTGTGACACACTGAGACAACACCCTCCAAATAAAAGAACTCCTCTTTTACAAAAAGTTCCCTGGCTGATTGCCTTGATTGGACTTTCTACTTGCACGGGTCCAAGGCAAGTGATAAAAAGCCAGTGATAAGCCCAAAACAACGAGCTGCAGCGAGTTCACTCGGAAGGTGTTTGAAGGGACTGCGAGCCCTTTAAATGCCTTCGGAGTTCTCCAAGCCACGGAGTCATGTGACCTGGAGAAGGCATTTAAAGGGACCACGATCACTTTAAATGCTTTTAAAGTTGTCTATCTAGCAGACTTGAAAATCCCAAATATTTTGCGGGTTGGCCATTTCCGATAGATGACCAATATCCAAAATGGCTATCGAGCTGAATCAATACCCCCAAAATATCGATAAGATATTTTCTGGGTATTTTTTCAGCTCCGATTTAGCTGAACGCACACCCCTATTCCTAACCCACCTGCCCTGACACACCTGTTAGCCATGTGTGACACACTGAGACAACACCCTCCAAATAAAAGAACTCCTCTTTTACAAAAAGTTCCCTGGCTGATTGCCTTGATTGGACTTTCTACTTGCACGGGTCCAAGGCAAGTGATAAAAAGCCAGTGATAAGCCCAAAACAAACAATGCACCCATGTTCTCCTGCGGAGTCACTTTGGGTCTTCTTCATGGCATAGAAATAACGATTGAATTGGCCCACAGTTTCTGTGAGCATCAAATCCAAATTTTGTGATCACACCCAAATGCATTATTCAAATTATAATTATGCAGCCCTTCTTGGTCTGTGCGTAGGACATCCCTCTTTCGGTTTCTGTCATACTAAACTGGTTGGTAATGGGATTTTGTAGTATACTCTTAAACCTGCAGTCCTATGCACACTTAATAATAATTGTGCTGTCAGGTTGCAAATGACTTCTGGGGCCTTTCATGGGGTTTTCAAGGCAAGAGACGAACAGAGGTGGTTTGCCATTGCCTTCCTCTCCATAGCAACCATGGCCTTCCTTTGCAGTCTCCCAGTCAAGTATTAACCATTGCTGACCCTGCTTAGCTTCCAAGCTCTGATGAAAAGTGTCCAGTAGCACCTTAAAGACTAACAAAATTTTTGGCAAGGGGTGAGCTTTCATTATTCACTGCTCACTTCCTCATTCTAGGTGTATCTGAAGAAGCAAGCAGTGACTCATGAAAGCTCATCCGCTGCCACAAATTTTGTTAGTCTTACTGGGCTCTTACTCTTTTCTACTGCTACAGACAGACTAACACGGTTACCCATCTTGATCTAAGCTCTGATGAGTTCCTAAGAACATAAGAGAAGCCAATGTTGGATCAGGCCAATGGCCCATCCAGTCCAACAGTCTGTCACACAGTGGCCAAAAATACCAGGTGCCATCAGGAGGTCCACCAGTAGGGTCAGGACACTATTTTTGGCTAGTCTGACCTATTCAGGCTGCTGTGCACACGTACTTTGGAGAAAGTATCAACAAACTCAGTGCTATATAAGGGCTGGAATATGATGGATCTGTCTGCAGTTGGAGCTGTAAACATTCATACCTTCTAGCCCCACAATGATAAGGCGTCATTTCTGATTAGCTCGTCCAGTTTTTGGAGAAGAGAATTCTTTTTCTTCTAAAGAATCAGAAGTACAGTAATCTAGACCATCACTCAAGTTTTAGGAATGGCACAAGGTTGAACTGCTCAGAGGAAAACTATGCGGTCCAGATGAGTTGTGAACTTTCAACTTAAATATTTATTTCTTTGTCTGATCCTTTCCTCCAGGTAATTTATGTCGTTGCACCGGGTACAGACCAATAATCGATAGCTTCAGTGCTTTCTCATCGGTAAGAGGGGAGGAAATCAGTCCATTGATATTGTTAAATGTGTCCCTTAATGGAGAATATGGGAATTAGATTACATTTGCAAAAGCAATTATACCCCAACAGTAGCGCAAAGTTGAAATACCTGTTTCTACATGCAATGCTGGGACAATATGGTAAGGCTGTGTGTATTGTGTGCCAAAAACAAGATTTTACACCATGAAGAACTAAATCCTGCT